CCAGAGTCGGGAGTCTTAGCTCAGCTGTTGGCTGTGTGCAGACACGAGCTGGCGCAGATGTTACGTATGTCCAAAATGGCACCCTCTTTATTGGCTTGTTACACTATGCCTTTGTAAAGTGATCAGAGAGAGAGAAACATGTCCGTCTCATCCTTTTTCTTTCTTTTTTCTTTTTCCTTTTTTTCTCCTTTAGTTTGGCTGGTGCACTTTCCTCCACGTGGCTCCAAGTCTAGTTCCCTTTACGCTCTTCCTGCTGCTTTTTTGCCAGTGGCTTGGGCTGCTGCAGTCTGGTCTCACCTCACTTTCCAGCACTGGTTTGTAGGCTCTCCACTGTTGGAGTCCCGAGCCGTGGGGGCCCACACCCTCCACGTAGGTCCACTGTGTCCCTCTAATTTCAGTAGAGCTTCCTCTGCCATTTTTTCCCTATTCCTTCCCTGAGACTACAGCATCCCCACTTTTTAAAAACTATATTCTTCTGGGCTAGAGCAGCAAACTCCTTCCCTACTCTGCCATCTTGGAACCAAGATAGTTATTTCAATCAATCTAAAATTCACTTATGGGAATTTGTTATATCTTCTGTTAATTTGCTGTGACTTTATATTTCATTGCTGAGATTTTCTTTTTTTTCTTTTTCATTTGTTTATTGAAACATTTCATGATGGCTCCCCAAATCCTTGTTTGATAATTGTAATACCTGTGTCACATTAGTATTCTTGCCTGTCAGTTGTCTTTTCTCGTTTTCCTTGAGATGTTCCTGATTCTTGTTATGGTAAGAGATTTTAAAATTAAAATTGAACATTTTAAGTATGTTAGGAGATTCTGAATGTTGCTGCCAGTTTGGGATTGAAGTTCAGGTTCTCCCCTTGGCCTTTGGTGGCACTCAGCTGGGGGATGATCTCCATGTTACTGTTGGAGTTAAAAGTGGGAAGTGTCAGACAGGGAGAGGGCAAAGGGCCTCACCTATAATGTAGATGGCTTTTATCAATCCAGTTGGGAAAGTAAGCCTTGTAATGTAAAGGCATTTGCTCTGGTTCCAGGCCAGAGCAAATGGCCAGGTAACCAATTTATCTTAACCATGTATCAGTGATCAGTTTCAAGAGTATGGAAAAAATAAATAATTCCCTTGACAGGTCCTAATATAAAATTCTTCTTTTGGTCTGTGAAAAATCTCTTGTTGTTTTACATATATAAACCCCCAGTATGTAGTAGAATTCTGTCCCTCCTGGTTAGGAGTTCCTGTCTTCATGCTCTTTCAGTAAACATTGCTAAAATCGCCTTCTTGGCTACTCGTTCAGTGGCCTTATATAACTTCGTTGTCAAAAACAAGTTCGGGGTCAGCATTGTGATATAGTGGGTTAAGCCACTTCCTGTGATGCCAGCATCCCATATGGGCACTGGTTCGAGTTGCGGCTGCTCTACTTCTGATCCAGCTCCCTACTAATGTGCTTGAGATGGTCCCTGGGCCTCTGCACCAGGTGGGAGACTCACAGGAGGCTCCTGGCTCCTAGCTTCAGCCTAGCCCAGGCCTGCCTGTTGCAGTCATTTGGGGAGTGAACCAATGGATGGAAGATCTCTTTCTCTCTCTCTTTCAAATAAAATAAATAAATATTTAAAATAAAAAAAAAAACTAACAAAATAAGTACCTCAGGTTCACAATAGTTGCAACATTACTGCTGAGTTGGAGGGAAAGTCAGGATCTCTGTAATATGCTGCGATGTGCTGGAGACAGCTGGGATGACATATGAATTATTATTCTACACTAAATGTTCTTACATACATTCTTAGATACTTCATGATTTTCAATAAGGACTGTTTGGACTAGTGTCTAGTATGTACAAAAGATTTTATATATAAGCTCTCTCTTTGTTCTCTTGCATGGATTCAGTTGCTTCCTAAATAATAATTGAAAGAAGTATTCTTTATTTCTAAGGCAACATAGATTTACTATTGTCTGGGATGACAGTGCTTTTATTTACCTTTTTGGGAGGAATAATACTTTGTTGTCATTTAAATTTTTAAGTATCGTAGTTTCATTAACTTTTTTTAAAGGTGATGGTTTTTCTTTTACTTTTGGTTAAATGTATTGTCCTCATATTCTTGATAAACCTGAATGATGTCATGAATTGCAGCATCTTTTCACTGTCTTAATGTTAGTCTTGTCAGTTTAATTCTAAATTCATGCATAATTAAGTGTAATTTTGCACAGTGAATGGAATCTGTGTCATGTACTAGCATACTGTATGAGGATTTTTTGAGGTCTGCCGCTGGCCATCTTATGCATCAGATATTCTGTGTAGTGTCTGTCAGTATGCTAGTTGAATGACATCTGGTCAGTTTTCAGAGATAAATTTTATTTATTTCTGCAGATTGCCTCAGTCAGTTATGGCCCACCAGACTTTTAGCCCAGTCTCAGCCCAGGGCCCCAGATGTACTCGCCACTTCTGATACTAGACTGTCTCTAGGCCCAGAGTCCAGCATTTCACACCACCTCTGCTTTCTTCAGTCCTGTAGATTTATGCCTCCTTTTCTAAGTTGAAAGTTTCAGTGTGATTTTTGCACTTGTGTCCTTTTCTTTTCACCTTTCACCCTGTTGCTTTAAGATGCCTTTCTCAGAAACAGGCTTACAATTCGCGTTTACAGCTTTGTTGTTATTCTTCCTCTGTAATAAATCAGGAATTTCAGGCAATCTACTTTTAAAGATAATGTATATATTTATGGATTTGTTTTGGAATAATTTTAAGGCAGTTTTACAGCAAACTTAGTTTCTTATTTGAGGAAGTTATGTAGCCTGACGTACCTTGAGAACTTTTCACTTGTAAATAATGCTCTGAGGATAAATGAATTTAAGAGGTAACAGAGTAATGCTATGGCTTACCAACAAAACAGTAACTTTTAATTTTCTTCTTTCTTCTTCTTTTCATAGTTTAAAAGCCACACTTAGTAGAGGAAAGCACAAATCATCTGCAGTTCCTTTCTTCTTTTAAAGATTTATTTATTTATTCCAAAGACAGAGTTACAGAGAAGAAGATACAGAGAGAGAAAGAGATCTTCCATCCTGTTCCATCCAAATGGCTGCAATGGCTGGGGTTGGTCAGGCCAAAGCTAGGAGCTTGAAACTCCATCCAGGTCTCCTATGTGTGTGGCAGGGGTCCAAGCACTTGGGCCATCTTCTGCTACCTTCCCAGGTGTATTAGCAAGAAGCTAGATTGGAAATGGAACACTCCAACTGGCACTGCAGGCACTGGTGGCATTGCAGGCAGTAGCTTAACCTGCTGTGCCACAACACCTGCTCCTAGAGTATTAACTTAAATATTTCTCTAATGCCTTGCTGATAGTAGCCTGCTTAGGTGCAGATCTTGACTCTGTCTCTTCGACTGGGTGAATTTGCTTGTTTAAGCCTCTGCTTCTGTAAAATGTAGATAATAGTACTTATCTTCCCTTAAGCTGTCGTTAAGGTTAAGTGAGGGGCTGGTGCTGTGGCGTAGCAGGTAAAGCCAACGCCTGCAGTGCCGGCATCCCATATGGGCGCCGATTCGAGTCTTGGCTGCTCCACTTCCAATCCAACTCTGCTGTGGACTAGGAAAGCAGTGGAGGGTGGCCTAACCCCTTGGGCCCCTGCACCTGTGTGAGAGATCTGGAAGAAGCTCCTGGCTCCTGGCTTTGGATCAGTGCAGTTCTGGCCGTTGCAGCCAGTTGGGGAGTGCACCAGTGGATGGAAGACCTCTCTCTCTCTCTCTCTCTCTGCCTCTCCTCTCTCTGTGTAACTCTGACTTTCAAATAAACAAATAAATCTTTAAAAAAAAAGGTTAAGTGAAATAGTGTACAAAAAGAAACACTTAGCAGACTGTTTCGAAATACAGCGGGTCTTCAGAAAGTTCATGGATTATGCAGGGATTTCAAAAATTATGAGCATCAAAATAAACTTATCTTTTATTTCCATTTTCTCTGAGTTTTTGAAATACCTTCATATAAACTATTATTTGTTGACATGTGTGCCTGTCACCAGTAAAAGATTTATGATACCAAACCTTAAAGAGTCTATAGTCTAGTTGGTAGATTGATCGTAAGCACGAATAATTCACCATGAAAAAATGCCTTTCTGGTAATATAGAAGGGCCACTGGAAGCATCCTAAACTTAGCCTAAACTGCCAGGTTGTCAAGGAATGCTTCAAGGGGAAGGGGATGTCACGACCTGGTGATGAATCATGAGTGTGTGGGAGCTCCGAGTGTGACCAGGGTTGGAATCTAAGTGAAAAATTGAGTCTTTGTGAAGCCTACCATATTTCATTAGATGCTAAATTTTGTAGTCAGGTTTTGTGTGGTTATTTACAATTAAGCATATTCCCAAATATTTAAGGTGGTGTTTAAAAAAGCTATTTACATTTGAAGTTGTTTTATTGTATGGTTGTTTGATTACTATACCTTAATTTTTACAGCAAACATTAATCAGTAATCTAGGTTTTCCATTTACACAGCTTTTTTTTTGTTTTGTTCTCTCTGTACCAACTAAAATTATACTTTAAAGCTGTTTATATAGTTTTGTTAAAATGACTTAAGAGCATATAGACATTATTTTTTATTTTACTCTCCTCTTCTGTGGTATCCTCTTCCACACTGTATATTCAAGATTAGAACTTATTCATATATAATCCATAGGCATTTCATTATTATCCTAAGAGATTTTTCCAGATGAAACCGAGAGATTAGTAATATAGGTTTTGTCAACATTAAAAACACACCAGCTAAATTCCTTTGTACCATACTAAAAACAATGCTGGCACCTAATAACTTATTTTTGTATTATTTTATGTGCTCAGTGACAGTATCTTTTCTGTGACTACCCTTGACTCCTGATAAAGCCCTGACATTGAAAATTTACTTGTACATACTTAAGAATTATATTATCTTTTCTTGATCATTCAAATAAATGTGAATAGTGATGGAAATCTTTGTGTTTTCTTTCTTTCTTTCTTTTTTTCTTTCTTTCTTTCTTTTTAAGGTATTGCCATCAGGGAGTCAGCAAAGGTAGTCGACCAAGCCCAAAGGAGAGTGTTGAGGGGAGTTGATGACCTTGATTTTTTCATAGGGGATGAAGCCATTGATAAACCTACATATGCTACCAAGGTAAACTTCTGACAGGAATTTCCTCTTAATGTAGAGCCAGAAACAGAGCAGTGGAATGAAAAATGCAAAATGATACATTATCTGGAAAGGAGCTCCCATCTACTGGTCCACTTCCCAAATGCCCACAATGGCTGGGGTGGGGCCAGAGCCAGAGCCAGGAGCTAAAACACAATACAGGTCTCCTTTGTAGATGGCAGGAACTCAATTATTTGGCCATCACCTGCTGCTTCCCAAGGTCTGCATTAGCAAAAAGCTGAAGTCAGGTGCTAGAGCTGGGAATTGGACCCAGGTCACTCTGAGGTGGAACTTGGGTATCTTAACCACTAGGCTAAATTCCCATTTCCTGGGATGTATTCTTTATGATGATGATTGAAAAGCTATGATGGTGGTGGTTTTAGAGTAGGGATATGAGGCAGACATTTGGCCTAGCAGCTAAAAGGTCTGTGTTCCATATCAGAGTGCCTGAGTTTGTTTATAGGCTGTAGCTCTTGACTCCAGCTTTCTGCCAGTGCAGATTCCAAGAGGCAGCAGGTAATGAATGGTTCTAGTAATTGGGTCTCTTGCCACCTCTGTGGGAGACCTAGATTGAGTTCCTGGCTATAGGCTTTGTCCTGAACCAGTCTTAGCTGTTGGGTGCATTTGGAGAGTGAACCAGCAGGTGGAAGCTCTGTCTGTCTCTGCCTCTGTTTCTCTTCCTTTTGAATAAAATAAATAGTCAAGGGGTATTTTTGAGTGAAGGATCAAGTGAATTAGCAAAACCTTGGAATGCAGAATTGATTCAGCAAACACACACTGTGTTACCATGAAAGCAAGATCTGCTCCTAGGGAAAATTACAGGTTGACTAATTAGCCTGTCAGATGTAGAAAACTGCAGATGGATTAATTTAAAAGAAACACATTATTTAAGAAGACGTTTTCTTTAAAACAAAACAAAATAAAAAGCTCCACATCCAGTTGTTTGGTATATGAGCTACACTTTTCTATCTGTCCCTCATTGTTAAGGTGATTCTTTGTACTTAGAAATGAGTAGAATAGAATGTAAGCAGTGAGATGACTTAGTCTTTCTTTTAAAATACCTGTTGTTTCTTTACATGACTCCACATTAATTGCACTGGGAGATACTTATTCTTTAACAACACCGTCTCTTCTGTATTAATGTTGTTAAGCTGTTCTTGTTGTCATGAAGTAAAGCTTGACACATTTTGGTTTCTCTTGCTTCAGTGGCCTATACGACATGGAATCATTGAAGACTGGGATCTTATGGAAAGGTTCATGGAACAGGTAGTTTTTAAGTATCTTCGAGCTGAACCGGAAGACCATTATTTTTTAATGGTGAGTAATTGGAATTTATATCCCTGTAAATTCCAAATTGCTTAGATTTTAAACTCAGTGTATTCTTTCCTAGATAGTTTTTAATTCCTTCTAAAGATATTTGCAGGGGCAAGTGTTTGGTACAGAGGTTAAGATATCACTCAAAACTCCACACGCCATATTGGAGTGCCTGGATCCAGCTCCTATTCTGCGTCTGAATCCAGCTTCCTGCTGTGTGTACCTGGAAGGCAGCATGTATTTGCTCAAGTACGTTGGTCCCTGCTGTCCATGTGGGAGACCTGGATTGAGTTCCTGGCTCTCTGCTTGGGCCTTGCCCAGCCTTGGCTGTCAGGGGCATTTGGAGAGTGAACCAGTGGATGGAGGATCTTTCTCTGTCTCTTTCCCTCTCTGCCTTTCAAATAAATAAAATAAATAAAAATAAAGATACCTGCATGAATCAGGATGCTGTTTTGCAAGTAACAGAAAACTCAATAAAAACATCCAGAGCCAAAATGGACTTATTATCTTAACAAAACAGGAAGGCCAGCGATAGGTGATTCTAACACTGGTTATTTTAGCAGCTTAGTGATGGAATTGAAAATGCAGCCTAGTGTTTGAACTTGACCTTTTCTCTTGGTTTCTGTCCTGCCCCAGAATAGCTGCCAAAGGTCCTACATGAGGGAAGGTTTTCCTCGCACATCACTTTTTAAGGTTTTAGAAGTCCTTTCTCCAGAACCTTTCCAGCAGATTCACCCCAGTTGCCCAGGCTTAACCTGGTCACTGGCAAGAGGAATGCAATTACCTTGACTGGTTTAGACATCTGGAGTCCGTCCCGGGGCTGTGATGGTGACTGTGATCACCTGGACTCTGCGAGGAGGATCAGTACCTACACGGGCCTGCACAGGCAAGCATGAGGGAAGCAGGAATAGATTTGGGCAAGAAACCAACTGTGTACTTAGATATCTTTGAAGTCACCAAATGTCTGTGCGTATTGTGATTTACTGTAGCAGAGCAAACTGAGTCAAGATGTCCTCCCCCGCCCCAGGGTTTAAAGTTTCTGTAAAATAAAACCGAACTGAGTTATGGTCCCTGATTATGGTACTTAATTGAGCTTATTCAAACAAAATAAAACATTACAGAGAAATAGGAAGACATGTCTCTTGGTTATAGGATCTGTTCTGATTTTCTACTCAGCATTATGTGTTTCCTTCCATAAAATGTTCTCCTTAAGCTAAAATTAATTGTATATATGAAATGCTTTATAGAGAGCAATTTCATGTAACAAAAGCTGCATGTTAAAGCCTACGTAGTTTAGCTTTAGATTTTTTCCCATTATCAAATGGTCCCAGATCCACTCACTTAATTCTAATGGTAGAATATGTAGTGGTATTTAGGATTACCTGGTTTAAAAAATACGTTAAGTGCAAGACTAATAGTCAGTGGAATTTATATATTTAACATCTATTAGAATAAGCCCTTGCAAGTGTTCTGATCTCTTTTTTCCTGGTTACATTTTCACAGTTGGAATGGCCACGTATGGCTTTTATAGGCCACTCTATGTATTTTCTCGCTTGTACATCTAGAATGGTTTATGTAAAACAAATGGAGCCAAAAAACTGACAATGTGTATGAGTAGCTTTTTCTTTATAGCCAAAACAGATCAGATTCCCACCTGTCATATCTGGCATTTTTCCCTCTGTAGCGTATCACATAACTACCTGTTGGACAGGATTTTAGGACCAGGCACCATGCCCAGCTGCTTCCTCCTGTCTGCCTCAGCTTACTGTGCCAGCAGTTCTTCTTGCTCCCCTTAGAGGGACACCTGATCTTTAGGCCTGTGGAACAGATGCAGGACACACAGTCCACAGAACATTTTTACTAAGAGAATTTTCTTTCTTAAAAAACGTAACTGACAAATAGAAGCTAGTAAAAACACAGCCACTTTCCAGGACAGAATTGGAGGTGTTCATTGTAAAAGTGAAGAAGTCTGTTGGCTGAAAATGGGTGCCTTCAATTTTTACAAATAATCAAGTTTATTATTAAAAAAATGAGAAAACTTTGTATTACATGTGTTTTGTATTCTGTAAGTCAGTTCTTTGCATGATGTGTTGAAGAAGTGATAGAATGGTAGATTTCCTCAGGATGATGTCCATCCTTGTCAGTTTCTAGAGTAGTTAAGAGAATTATGGCCAGGCTGTTGAAGTGAGTAGAAGATGCTTACTGAGCTGCAGCATCAGGTGAGGCCTCCAGGTTTAAGTCTAAGAGGCCCATGCTGAGGGTCCTTGGGGAGCTCACCCAGTTGTCCTTCCTGACTGCTGAGTGCAAACTGACAGTGAGCTCATTAGCACCTGAGATTTTCAAGAGGCTCAGAGACTCAAGGAATGGCAAATGGAGTCATACTCTTTTCAATATTGAATTGCCCAGAGTTCACAATGGACTGATATATTTTAAAGAGTTGTAAGGGTTGGTGCTGTGGCATAGCAGGTAAAGCCACCGCCTGCAGTGCCAGCATCCCATATGAACATCGGTTTGAGACCTGTCTGCTCCACTTCCTATCCAGCTCTCTGCTATGGCCTGGGAAAGCAGTAGAAGATGGCCTAAGTGTTTGGGACCCTGCCCTACATGGGAGACCTGGAAAAAGCTCCAGACTCCTGGCTTCGGATGGGTGCAGCTCCGGCCATTGTGGCCATTTGGGGAGTGAACCAGTGGATGGAAGACCTTTCTCTTTCTCTCTCTTTCTCTCTCTGTCTCTGTCTTCCTCTCTACCTATGCCTCTATAACTTCACCTTTCAAATAAATAAATTAATTAAAAAAAAGGTGTAGTACTCCAGAGTTAGAAATTGAGTTAGAGCTCTTGAGGAGACCCTCCCCCCCCCCGTCACACACACACACTCTCTCTCTCCCTCTGCCTCTGTAACTCCACCTTTCAAATAAATAAATAAATCTTTTAAAAAAAATGTTGTAGTACTCCAGAGTTAGAACTTTTGAGGAGATTTTTCAGGCTTTCTGATTGTTAATCGTACAAGAACCATCAAGCAGCCCTTGCCAGTGACTGGCAGAGAGCAAGAGAGTGATAACTTGAGGAACCGGCTAGTATAACTGGAGGCCGAGAGAGAGGTGGGGAAAGCAATAGGTATCATTGCAAGTTTGTATTTTAGAGACTGGAGAGGGGGCGTGGCTGATCCTCATAGTCTTCATAAAAAATCCAGGGAGAGAGGATGAGTACCTGAATGAAAGGAGGAGTAGATGCAGGGCAGTTAACAGCTTTTGTAGAGTTCTGAAAATGGTGTCAGGTGAACATTACAGTCAAAACCATCATGGGATTCTCTCAGGAAGGGTCCTTGTAAGCGACTAAGACAACAACTCTTAGTGATTGTGAGAAAAATAATTCCCCTTCAGCAGAGGGGGATTTTTGTCTATACCAGCTGTGGCAGGTGGGTTTTACTTGGGGGTAAAACAGTGTCTTAGGAAGAGCACACATTGATTAGAATTACTTTTGTCCAGCAGTATGTTCACACCTTGAGAATGTGTGGAAATTGAGATGAACTGAGAAATCAGAGTCAGCCTCAAGTAGAATACGGACAGGCTTATTTTTTACTATTCAGTTAGTTATTTCTTCTGCTCTCATGGTTGACCTTATCATTCTTGGGTGCTCACAAAGCTTGTCTCTTACCATTCTTTGAAGTATATACAGTTGGCTGGGTAAGTTCTATAATACGTAGTAGAGATATACAGGAGATAGAATTCATCAACCTTGGTGATTAGAACTGGTAGCAGGTAGACGAGGAAGCCAGGAAGATTCAGTGTTAGCTTGAGGAGTGGGTTGGTAGTAATTTCCTTGGCTGAGCTCTGAGACATTAAAAAAATCTCACTGGAGGGAGGATAAAGGAGAGTTTAGTTTTGTATCTGCCGTGGTCTAGAGGTTACTGGGCTAAACAGGTAAAGAGGCCTCAACAGAAGCAGCTCAAAGTCACAGATGTTGGTTTGGAGTCAGTAGCATTTACATGTTGATGATTGGTTGAGAGAACTCTGATCACCAAAAATCCTTCGTATTTTAGAGAGTCTGCAATTATCCTGAAATCCCCGTGTGAAGTTCAGGTTATGGCTCTGAAGGAACGTTTGTTTCAAGAATCAGTGAAGTAAAAAATGGAGGGGTGGGCCTTGTGTGTCAGGTTAAGGCACCACTTGGGATGCCCACATCCCATTACCAGAGTGCCTGGCTTTGAGTCCCGCCTCTGTTTCCAAGCCAGCTTCCTGGTAAGGTGCACCATGGGAAGCAACAGGTGATGGCTGAAGTACTTGAGTCCCTGCTACCCATATGAAAGACCAAGATTGAGTTTCCAGCTTCCTGACTTCAGCTTGGCCCAGTCTGGCTGTTGTGGGCATTTGGGGTAGTGAACCAACAGATGGAAGATCTCTCACTTTGTCTTTGTTGGTCAGTCTGTCTCATGCCTTTCACATGAATAAAAATAAATCTCCAGAAATTTGATAGCTGTTTATTAGCAGTAATGTATGTATGAATCACAATATAGGATTGTGTCTTGACCTGCTAAGTTACTCAGAATGGTTTGGACCTGTCTTGTCCAACTCAGTAGTTACTAACCAGCAAACCAGCATTGAGGCCAGTTGCCTTGGATTTGCTAGTTAATTACCACTGGATTTCCAGGTTTTAGTTTGTTGTCATCTCCTCTCCTGTTCTTGCTTCTTTGAGCATTTATATGTTATTTAAAAAGTTTGAAGCATTCTTAAGGCCATATTCTCATAGATCTGAGAACCATAATCATAAACCATTAAAAGATTTATGTAGGGCCGGCGCCGTGGCTCACTAGGCTAATCTTCTGCCTGCGGCGCTGGCACACCGGGTTCTAGTCTCAGGGCGCCAGATTCTGTCTTGGTTGCCCCTCTTCCTGTCCAGCTCTCTGCTGTGGCCCGGGAGTGCAGTGGAGGATGGCCCAAGTGCTTGGGCCCTACACCTGCATGGGAGACCAGGAGAAGCACCTGGCTCCGGCCATCGGATCAGC